TGGTACCATCACCTTTAATAAAAATTACACAAAAGGTTACTCTTGATTCATTAAGCACTGACCAAATGATATAGGACTTGTCTTACTACATTCATAGATCAGGCATAAGTTTTCATTATAGGAACAAAATAAGTCAAAACACAAGTCCAAGTCCAACTATATTGAGAAATCATTAGATATTAGGCTGTGTTGTATATTTGTAAACTTTAGTTTACAATAATTGTCCTAGTCTAAAATATTTTGTATGTACTTATTCTGAATAGTAATAGTCAATAAGAGGTATCTGTCTAGTTACCACTCACAAATCAAACAGGGAACTAGGGAGGGAGACTTAATGTGGAACTATGACATCATGTTCACAGAAAATAAGCTAGACAAGAAAGCCCACCTCTTTTAAAAGAATGAATGTTATTTAAGTGCCACATCATTTTTTAACTAAGCACTTATCCTTTTATTCGATGTATTCCTCACATGATTTATATTGGTTAAGTAGGTATAGGGAGGAAAAGGATGTTTCTGGCAACTCCCTCTGTAGTAAAAAGAAAAGGAAAAATGATGTTTTTGTCTTTAGCTAAAGGGAACATATTTTGGTACTATTAAACTAGGGTGATGGAAAAGTCAGCTAACTATTAAGCAAAATACAAAGTCCAAGCAATATGTCATTAAAGGTTTTAAATATTTTTTCTTGAAAGTGTATTATACAGAAATACCCCACACTTGAATTTAAACTCAAAGCCAAGGTTGCCAAACATGTAAGAGATACCTAGTTATATTAATAATAAATGACAGAATATTTTCCTTTTTCTCTTCATTTGTCTTATCCTGCCCCCTTCTAGTAACTTAAGATTTAGCTCCCAATGTTTTAAAAAATATATAATAGGAATTTCAAAAGAAATAAATATTGGAGAGAAAGTTGATCTACAATATTGTATTATAATGTATCTTCTTTTAATATTTCCACAACCTTGAGTCTTCCGACATACTATTCCAGATACTATCTCTTCTAAGAAATAAGGTACATTTGTCAGTATAAAATAATGCATCAATAGATCAACTTAATTGTGCAAACTTCATTCATCTCATTAGTGTGATTACTTCTTAAACACAAAGCACCTCAAATCTTATTATGCCTCTGTACCTTCAACCCTTACTATACCTAGGAGTTCTACATATCAAATCATAACCCTTAATTTCCAGAGAAATAAAACAGATTGACACAATATTCATTTGACTACCTCTGAGTAAAACTTTAGGGTTTCATTGGAATGCAATGTACACAAAAATTTCATTCAGGAAAAAAGTGTTTTGTTTTACTTTGTTCTTAATAGAATCCTAACTTTCCCCCCCATTATTTTTTAGTTTTTGAAGCTAGGTTCAGATATGTTCTTTGTTATACACTTACACAAAAATGGTTTTAAATCAAACTTATGTTCTGCTTTAGAAACAAATGCTTCTTCAATATAGAAACTAACATTGTATATATTAAAAACTTAAATTTGGTATCTTTTCAGAAATACATTTTGATAACTCAATGATTAGAGATTAAGTATGTCAAATTGCTTTTAGTTGGTATGAAGTATTAGCTAATTAATCATGTAAAGATTATTTTGTACTTCCCTTTCTTCAAAAGAAATAGAAATAAGTATTACAATTCCATAAATAGTTGCACACATGCATTAGCAGTGTTGTATTATCTTTGAAATAAATACACCATGAGTCAAGGCTTGCCTTTACAAAAAGGTGAAAATAATATAACCATAGTTTGGAAATGTGTATATACAAATCAGTAGTTTAAAATATGTTAAATGATCAGAATTGTTTCTGTGCAGCTGAAAAGTGAATACCAAATTTAATTTTTTATAACATAGCATAAATCATTTTATAATTCAGAAAACCTTTTCAAAAAATATGTGCTTTTATTTACAAAGCTACATCAAACTACATCTCCAAATGAATGCATCAGGTGTTAAAAAGAACGTATCATGATATAGCCATCCTGACAGAGAAATGAGAAAAATCCAAGAAGTATGTAAAATAAGGATACTTGAAATCTGTTACCCTTACACTAAGGCATTATTTAAAAAGTCACAATCTCCTTCCTTTCCATCCATGCCCTGCCTTTCCATTACATCCTCAACTTTATGTTTACTGCAGATGCCTTACTTTTTCTAACGATTCTGTCCTTCTGTCAAAGCACAAAGCACAGCAATATGGTCACAAGTTCTAACAGCCCCATAAATGATTTTTTTGTTGTTGTTAACAAAATATAGAACTAGCTAATATGTTTTCGTGGGAAAAAAAATAACAAAATAAACTTGTCAAAACAGACTCTGGATTATTAACACAAGAAGGAAGATTTGACATATGTTAACTATTAAAATATGGTAATAAAAGCATTTTAAGTGCCATTTTAATTGGTATCTGTCTATTCCTTCTGACAAAAGAAATCCTATCTGTTTAGTTTTTCTCAGTTCAGTACAATCACATGCACTTCTTTATCATAAGTCTGAGTCAAGTATCACATTGTAAAGGGCTGTGCCATTCCTCAGTTTTTGATACAGCTTCCAAACAGAAGTTTCAAAACAACTCTAACTAGCAAACATGTCACTGTACTTTAAACAGAGTGGCGTTTTCTACCCACATTTCAGGAAGGTTAAAACACACATGCCCCACACACAGAGGCACAAATCATCACTGTAGACAATATAGTCTAAGTGAGTTTAATTCTTCAGGTAGATTATGCAATTCTTGTTTTTAAACTAACCACAAATCAAATGAAGACTTTTTTTAATGACTCACACTACCCATGTTACCAACAGTTAGTTACAAGAGAGGGGGGGAAATGGGCTCTGTGTTCCAAATTGAGCTTACCTAAAATCTGCATCTAGTCACTTTACATCCTATGAGATGCCCTTTTAGAGATAATCAAGATACGTTACAATAGGGAATTTGAATTTAATTATCAAACTTTAATACCATGATATATAGGTCAACTGAGATGCGTGGCTTTCTCCGGAAACAAAGAGATTTGGAGTTAATAGGATTTCAGATTTCATACCAGAAACAGCAAAATATGTTTTGAGAATGTCAGTTACCGTAACACAAATCAATAGTAAATGCTTTATGCAGGAAGCACACTTTCAGAAAATGGGCCCTAAAGCTTTCTGGGATCCGACCCTAATTACTAGAGCAGGCTCTTGCTGCTTGTCTCTCTCTTCAATTATTTACCGGGGGAAAAAAAAAAAAAAAGCCAAATGGCATTGCATTAGCTGTATTAAATGCTATGTACTTGGTTTCTAACTTACTAATGGTACATAAAATTTACTGGGGTGAATGTGCCTTTAGAAACATGGCCTTTTTTCTTCTTCACCTGAGCATATATATTTATTATTCATATAGTTAAGTGTTGAATAGGTTGTCTTTGGGCACCCAGTGCTGCATAATTTAAACAAGTACATTAAACATACATGATATCTAAAAGGTAATGCATTGATTACACTTCCAAATTTCTTTGAACAACTTATATTTATAATGTAGCTCACAAAAAAATGGACACCTCACTAAAGTCCCTGAACACAAATATGCGAGAACCACTAAGCAATGAATAATGGATAACCTTGCAGTCACCATCTAATCCAGCAGCTTTCCGGTGACCCAAAGTAAAATAAGAATTTGGGAGATGTGAAATGAGTGGTAGGAAATGTCTATTCTGACAAGTATCCTTTTCTACATGGGTAAATACAGACCTAAGTTATAGGCACAAAACATGGACCACACACTCCAAGAAAGAAAACCTTATCAAGGTTGAATCAGAGATTCTTTGCACCAGGCCAGAAATGCCCTCTGCTAGCAAGCAGGACATAATTACAACCTCCCAAAGGAAGTTCAGAGGTTGCATCCATACTTGCTTCTTTTGTGAGCAAGAGGGGCACCTGGAATTGTAATAAGAGGTGCTAATTGCTGATGAAGGCTGAGGCATCCAACTTCAGGGTTCCCCAATAGAGGGGAAAGCTTCCAAAGCAATGAAACCCTCACTCTTCATGGTTCTGATAGATTTAAGGCAGTTCAGAAGATATCGAATTCTTATTGCAAAAAATAAAACAGGCTCACTAACAAAGTACTCAGGGTCCTAGAAAGCCAGGCGCAATTTGCATGGCCCCATGTCATCATTTGTGTACCTACGAGTGTGCCAAGGCCACTTTTGAGAAAGCCCAATGGAAATCGATCCGTGGTAAACATATAAGGTAGTCTGTTTTGTTTTTTAACTAAATACAAAGTCACTTCTTTGCAGTGAAATCTGCCCATTGTCCCTCCTTTGCAAAAGCTACAGAGAAGATTAAAAAGGACATCAATGAATGCTGAGTGAACTTTGGCCACTTTTCTACCCAAAACACCAGCGTAAAAGTAGAAATCAGTAACCAGGTGAAGTGCCACACCGCACAAAGATCAAGGCGAGGGGCGGGCGTGCCGGACCGGAGGCGGGAGGAGACTGACTCGTCGGCCCCCCTCCCACCCCGCCTCCCCAAAACCTCAGACCTCGCGCGCGCGGGAGGTTCAGAGGAGTCCCCAGGGACTGGAGGCTCCCCACTTCTCCGAGGGGAAGTCAAGAGTTACTGTTCACAGGGCGAGGCCCAAAAGAAGGGGTCGAGAAGCCGCGCCGCCAGTGAGTCCTGCGGCGGGCCCCAGGCGTCTGCAGCCCAGCCGCCAACGCTCGGCCCCGCGACCCTCCCGCCTCCTGGGCCAGGAAGGGGCCGGCGGCTCTTTCCTGTCTAGTCTCTCCCCCCGCAGCTTTCTGTAACCCGATCCCGCACTCCGCTCCCCCGGCAGCCGCCGCCCCGCGCGCCGCGCGGCTCACCCAGGCCAGCGCTATAGTTAGCAACCTTCCATCAACTCCACTGGGGGCGGCGGGGGCTCAAGGTGCGCGCCCCTCCCAGGGCCCAAGCCGCGCGTGCCCCCGGCGCCCCTTCCTCCAAAGACCCCCTCCCCCGGCGCCCCTTTACCTTCGCTTGAAGATACTGGGGGTAGTAGTAGGTTGCGTACTGAGGGTACATCTGCTGTTTCCACACTTTGCCCATGAAGCTGGAAGGGAGCCTGCCGTGCAGGGTCGCGGGCAATTTGGGGTTTCCAAGTCTCGGTCTCTCCTGCCTCTCCCTTTCCGGCGGCGGCGGCGGCGCCGGCAGCCGCTGCTCCACCTCCCAGCCGGGACCAGACGTCCTCCTCCTCCTTCTTCTCCTTCTCTCAAGCGGAGAGAAAGACACTGCAAAGCGCAGAGGGAACCCCGGACAGGGAGCTCCCAAGGAGTTGCCTCCCGGAGCCCGACTGCTCCGGGGCTGCCAAGGTCTGGCGCTCTGGCCGCGCTCCGCACTGGCTAGCAGGCAGAACAGGGCTGGGAGGTGATCAATACAAGTGGAAAGTGCTGCGGCGGCGGCGGCAGAGCTCCGAGCCGGGCGGCATCTGGGGTGGGTGCGCCCGAAGGGAAGAGGGGAGAGGGGCTGGCGTGCAGAGGCCGTGGGGGGAAGGGCAGGCGGGGGCGGGGCTTGGACGCCGCGGAGCCCGGGACGCGCTGGAGGTGAGGGCTGAGTTTTAACCACTCCTCACCTCCCAGGCGTGCAGTTGGATGGGCTGAAGCCCTGGGAACCCAGAACGCTTTGTATGGATGTTTGGGGGAGGAGGGAGACTGGGTTTGGGGAGCCCAGCTTAAGAACTGCGGAGTGACACCTCATTTGCTTTCATGAGTTTGTATCTGCGTAAAGGGTAGGGAAGGGAAGGTAAAGGGAAAGAGGAGGAAATCTGATAATCTCTCATTTCCCCCGCCCAGTGATTTTTTTTTTTTTTCACAAGGGAAGGAAAATGATTTAGTTTCCAACCACAAAGCTGGAGTAGAGACACCTGGGTTCTGTTCCCTCACCCTCCAGGCTACAAACACTAATTTCCTAGGTGACCTTGGGAGGGTTAGTGTCCTTCGGTTTGGTTTTCCCAGATGTGAGAGGTGAAACCTTGCTCTCTGCCCGAGGGGAGGTAAATCTGTCTCTCTCTGTCTGTCTGGCTGTCTGTCTGTCTCTCTCTCTCTCTCTCTCTCTCTCTCTCTCTCTCACACACACACACACACACATACACACACACACCAAATAGATGGGATCTAAGGGTGAGATTCTGCAAAGAGGCAAAATGTTATTATTAAAGGACACAATATAGACATCAGCTTTTCCCTGCCTCTTTCTAATGCTGCCAGACAGTCTGTCAACTCCCACTCAGGAGCAAGGAAACTCCCTGAGTTTGGAATATTTTAAGGCCATTTTGAAAGTCACGCTGGCATATTGTTGCAGTGTGCTTCAGTGACATATAAAGTCAGTCTCTTTCTGCCTCTCTCCATCTCCTAATTGTCACCGATCTTGACAGCCTCAGACAGCAGTGGCTAAATTCACTACATAACTGTATATAAATTAATGGTGTTAATTGGTCCCTGGACCTGCCTGAAGACGTTGATATTTTAACTCAAAAGAAAGAGAATATGGAAATATTCATAATTAAGAAAGCATCTCCAAATTGGAGTTCTTATACATGTAATTAAATATAATGTAACGTAAAATTCACTTGTTATTAAATAGACCTTGATTAGTCTGTCAATTTAGCTTTCTGGGAACCTATTTTCCTAACTGCAAAAGTAAGTAAAACTGAAATAGAATGCATGATTTTGTTAAACAGCTACATTTTTCTATGATGACATTTCAAAGTGGGTTTAAAATATGTTAAAACATTGAAATAATGTATTGAAAAATTATAATCCTTGTATAATTTAGACGTCTAAGTTATATATTTGACAAAGCAAAATATATGTAAGTTCGTATGAGAACATTTTATATGCCAGTAGGCAAGTAGTGTTCAGTTAACCTATGTGAAGTCCTACAAGGAAAATAGCATTTACTGAGTTTCTGCTACTTGGTTGGTACTGTTGAGATCATGTCAGTCTGAGTTTGAAGAGGTTCATTAGCTAGTTAGGGAGCTTAAAATATTTCTATATATTGTTTTCCTTTGGAACACTTTTATGATTTTTCAACAGAAAACTGACATGAACTGAATTTAAGATCCTAGGAGGACTAGAGATGATGGTTTGGAGGAGTGATGGAAGGAAGAGAACAAGTTAAGAACAATCTCCAAAGTTCTAGGTTTGAGGTGAAAAGGGACATTACTAAACTTAGACTGTTCTACTTTTTTCTGGGTGATAAAAACTCATCCTGTTTTAGAGAGCCCAGAAGCATACCCACAATTATGTAGACACTTGATTTATGACTGAGTTGGTACTGCAGTGGGGAATGAGCTTTTCAATAAATGATTCTGGGTCAATTGGTTACCCATATGGAAAAAATGAAATTGGAGCCCTGCCTCACAAAAGGGACAGAAAAAAAAAATGAGTGAATTAAAGACCTAGATGTTAAAAACAAAACTATAAACTGTTAGAGGACAATGTAAGGAAAAATCTTTTTAGCTTCAAGAGAGGAAAAGATTTCTTTAATAAGGTGACCAACAGTGCATGATTGACTAATTTCACTATATTAAAATTCAGAACACTGATTCATCAAAGGATTCCATATGAAAAGAGTGAAATAAGTACATCACAAAAAAAGTTATTTGCAATGTATATGACTTCAAAAGATTAATGTACAGATTATGTAAAAAAAAAACTCCTTGGACTCCTTGGAATTAATAAGAAAAAGAAAAACAGTGCTTGAGAATGTGAGCAAAAAAATATGGGCATTTAACAGAGGGGGGATGAATGTGGGCAGTTAATAGAAGGGGAATCACAAATGTCCCTATAATATATGAAAAGATGTCTTCTTACTCACTTGTAGTAAAAGAAACACAAACATTTAAATAATAAGATATTACTGCACATGCACCATTGGCAAAAATTAAGAACTCTGAAAATAGCAAGTGTAGGTGAAGATAAGGAAGAAGGCAAAATCTTGAACATACTGCTTTCTGGTATAAATGTACAGATGAGTATAAATGAGTACTCACCCCGCTTTAGAAAACAATCTGGCATTACCCAATTTCACTTGCATGTATGCCATGACTCAGAAATTCTACTTGTAGGTATATATGCCTCCAAGAAATTTTTCTATGTGTGCATCACGAGAAATGTACAGGAATGTTCAAAATATGCTGAGAATAACTTGTGACTATCAATTGTTGAATGTATAAAAACACTATGCTGTATGCATACAACAGAATGCTTGGCAGCAGTGAAAGTGAATAAATTACTATTAAAAGCATCCACCAGCATCATTTCATAGCTAATACTAAAGGAGCAAATCAACATAAAGCATGGTTCCATTGTTATGAAGTTCAAAAATAGAAAAGAATAACCTGTATAAGAGCAAGAGTAGTAAGAAAAACTATTAAGAAACATAAGATTAAAACACAAAATTCAGAATAGTTGTTATCTCTCTCTCTTTTTTAGATTTATTTATCTATTCATACAGCACTGGGGAACAAGCCAGAGGTGCAGGGGCAGTGAGAGGCTTCACCAGAGACAGAGTGGGGAGCAGAACAGGCAGATCAACAAGTACACCGCTGAGGGGAGCAGTGGGTGTGTCAGGAGAGGTCTGCCACGCCATATGGTCTCCTCCGGGGCAGGCGGGAATTGAACTCATGCGGAAGTGGCTTTAGCTTCTCAGTGTTGTGCTTTA